CATTTTGTTTGATCACATATTTAATGTCGTCTTTTTACAGGAAAACAATAGTTTTTTATCCGTACACAACAATGCCTTTTTTACAAGCACTGCAATTATCTTAAGTATTCAATTGTTTTCCGAGAGTGTTGTTAAAGTCAGTGCAAGGTGAATGTATCGTAAAGACAGACGACAAACCTACGGGGTCAGTACAAGATGTATATACCGCACAGACTGACAAACGATATCCATAGTCAGTACAATGTGTATGTACCGTACAGACAGACGGCTGACCTGAGTAGCCAGTGCAATGTGTATGTACCGTCCTAACAGACGAGATAACTCTGAAGTATGTACAATATTGATGTTCCGGACAGACAGACGTTCAACCTCCAAAGTCAGTACAAGGTATATGTACCGTACAGACAGACGAACGATATCGTAGTCAGTACAAGTCCAAGTACCGTAAAGACAGACGACCGACCTTCGTAGTCAGTATAAGAATTATTTACCACACATATCTCCTTAGCCAGTACATTTTACCTAGACTTCTTCCTATAATGCCATACCAAGTAGGCTGCCCTGGACTGTGATACACAGGACAACGCCCTACACTGTGATACCAAGTGCGTCGCTCTGTACTCTGATACCATGTGCGACGTCCTGTACTCGTTACCAAGCTCTGTACTGTTAACCTAGTACGTAATCACATAGTGTGATACTACATACGTCGCGCTGTGCTGCAATATCCAGTCTGTGTACGAGTTCTGTAATATCCAGTGCCTCGCTCTGTACTGTATTACCGAAGTTTTGCCCTATACTTTATTACTCAGTACGGCATTCTAAATTGTGATACCGAGAACATTGTCATGAACTGTGATACACAAATAGGTGTCCCTGTACCTTGATACAAAGTCGGTCGCCCTGTACTGTGATACCCAGTACGTCACGCTGTACTGTGATTCCCAGTGCGTCGCCCTGTACTGTGATACCCAGTACGTCACCCTGTCATGTAAAACCCAGTATGTCGCCATGTACTGTGATACCCAATATGTCGCCCTGTATTGTGATACCCAGTGTGTCTGCCTGTACTGTGATACCAAGAACATTGCCCTGTAACTTGATACCTAGAACGTCACAATGTATTGGGATTCCCTGTCCGTCTCCCTGTACAGGATATACCCAGTACGTCACCCTGTACTGTGATACCAAGTGCGGCACCCTGTACTGTGATACTCAGTATGTCGGCTTGTACTGCGATGCCCAGTACATCGACCTAAACTTTGATATCCGGTACGTCGCCCTGTACTTTGATACACAGTACGTCCCTCTGTGAGTTGATACCCATAACGTCCCCATGTACTGTGATTCCCAGTGCGTCGCCATATACTGTGATACCAGTACGTCGCCATGAAGTGTGTTACTCAGCACGTCGTCATGTAACGTGATACTAGTACGTTGCCCTGTACTGTGATACTCAGTATGTCACTATGTACTGTAATACCCCNCTATGTACTGTAATACCAAGTACGTTGCCCTGTCCTTTGATATCCGGTGTTTCGCCCTGTACTGTGATTCTAAGTGCGTCGCCTTGTAACGTGATACCTAGTACGTCGCACATAATGTGATACCCAGGAGGTCACCCTGTCCCTTGATACCCAGTACGTCGCCATGTACTGCGATACCCAGGACGTAACCCTGTATTTCGATACCCAGTACGTCGCCCTGTACTGTAATACCAAGTATGTCACCATTAACTGTGTTACCCAGCACGTGACCCTGTATTGTGAAACCAATTGCGTCGACCTCTACTGTGATACCAAGTACATCGCCCTGTACTTTGATACCGTATTCTGATACACAGGAAGTCACCCTGTACTGTGATGCCCAGTATGTCGCAGTGTACTGTGATACCCTATACGTCAACATTAACTGTGTTATCCAGCACGTTGCATTGTACTGTAATTCCCAGTGCGTCGCCCTGTACTGTGATAAGTACCGACTTTACAGATGCAACAGGTTAGCCAGGAGCTGGTGTGATTGATGGCGGCTTTGTATCCCTCTTCCGGTCAAGTCGGGTCAAAGTCAGGATAAGGCAACATTAGCCCAGGAGTCGTCTTTCATAAAACTACATCTTAAATTAATACATGAAGGATAAACGGCTCCTTCTCTCCTTTATCATCCCACTTGGTCCATTTGTTACATACTTAATCCCCCTACTCATTTGTTTATATCTTTTATTTGTTTGTTGGGTAACCGAATTAATCGGTAGTGAATTGACAACTAAAAAACAAACAAGGAGGAAACGCTATCTCTTACTTTGGCAGTCAAAGTGAGGAAACGGTGAAAAGGCTAGTAAGGGTTCTATGATGTCGTGTGTAGTTTATAGTCAAGTTGAATTACATAATTAATGTATATCACTTGATAGTGAACATAGTCGTATGGTATCGTAGTACAAGGCGAAGTACAGGAAATCATAGTACAGGCCGACGTACTGGGTATAACAGTACAGGGCGACGTACTGGGTATCAAAGTACATGGCGATGTACTGGGTATATTAGTACAGGGTGACGTCCTGAATATCACGTATATGTAGATATAGCATATATCACGGTAGAGGGCGACGTACTGGGAATTGCAGTACAGGGTATCGAAGTACAGGGCAACATACTGGTTATCACAGTACAGGGCGACGCACTGGGTACCACAGTACAGGGAGACGTACTGAGTATAACAGTATAGGGCGACGTACTAAGTATCACGGTATAGGGCAATGCACTACGTATCAAATTACAGGGCGACGCACTGGATATCACAGTACAGGGCGACGTACTGAGTAAAACAGTATAGGGCGACGTACCTAGTATCACGGTATAGGGCGACGCACTACGTATCAAATTACAGGGCGACGCACTGGATATCACAGTACAAGGCGAGGTACTTGGTATCACAGTACAGGTCGACGTAATGGGTATCACAGTACATGGCGATGTAATTGGTATTACTGTACACTTGGAACCAGAAAACAGGGTGACGTATCGGATATCAACGAACAGGGCGAAATATTAGGTATCACAGTACAGGGTGACTTCCAGTTTATCAGAGTACACGAACGTCATATATCAGTACACATAACCGTCATCAATCTGTTCACACAAACGGCATCAATCAGTGCACATACACATCATCAATCAGTGCACATAAACGTCATAATATAGTACATATACGGCATCGACCAGTCCACGCCAATATCATCAATCCGTGCACACAAACGTGATCATAAAGTACATACAACGTCATCAATCAGTGCACACAAACGTCATCATACCGTATAATGTGTGTTTCAATAAATGTCAATGCTACGATTAAATCTAAATGTTGAACTGGTCCAGTCTCTGAAGTTCTTATCAAGCAATATCGTCTTTGACGTACGAACATACTAAGCTCATTACATATTAATCAATTACACTCTTAATTAGGAAGCTTAACAACCATTTAAGTAATACATGTTGTCATAGCGATAGATATTCGTGTCTATCGATTTTCATGCATACTATCTCGACATAAAATACAACGTGACCTTTAACAGTAAGATGTTAATAATGTTAATAGCATTATCCCCAAAGTACATTTTTTATGGTATACTATCATGTTACCCCTGTTTACGAATCAATCGGATTTCATTTTTACTCGATATATTTTGTCTGAATATTTACAAGGTTATATTATTATTATCATTTATCTACTTTTTATTGATTTTGTTGTTATTCTTTTTTTATATTGAGATTATCTATTTTTTTGTGTTTGTTTATCTTTTTACTTTTATAACATAATATATAACTGTATAAATAGCATGTATGTGTGTATATACATGTAACGTATATATATGTGGATTACAAATTAAAATTTAACCTTACATTGCTTTGTTGTTATTATTTTTATGTTTATCTGTTTGTCAATTTCATTCTATGTTTATTTATCTTTTTTTGTTTTATTTTGATATTTTGTCCGTTCGGTATGTGAAACCCAGTACCTCGACCTGTTCCGTGATACCCAGTGCGTCGGCATGTACTATGAATTCCTGTAATTGGCCTTGCATTACGATACCATGCGACTATAGACACTATCAACTGATATACCTTATGTAATTCAATTTGACTACACACGACGTAATATAACCCCTACTAGCCTTCTCAACGTTTCCTCCGTTTAGTAGTGTTCCTCTCACTATGACTGCGTTTCCTCCTTGTTTGTTTTTGAGTGATCAATTCACTACCGATTAGTTTGGTTATACAACAAACAAAGAAAAGACAAGAAAATGAGTAAGGGGGATTAAGTAAGTAATAAATGGACGAAGTGTGATGATAGATGAAAGAAGGAGCCGTCTATTCCTCATGTACTATTTTAAGATTATAGTTTCATGAAAAACGACTACTTGACTAATGTTGCCTTATCCTATATTTGACCAAACTTAACAGGAAAAGGGATAGTCGCCACCACTCACACCAGCTCCAGGCTAACCTATTGTATCTCTAATGTCGGTACTTATTTAATTCCGTCTTAGAGAGCCTCATTCTACCTGCCGAAATAAACCTAACTCTATCCTCTTGGTCGCCGTTATCACGCCTAATTTTCTTAGGGAAATAATCAGATTGCTCATAGCTTTTCCTGTGATGGAACCTGTATTTATACCCATATCTAACCAAATCACATTATCATTTCCTTATAAAATGTCTTCTGTTATACTACGATTGACCTATCCAAACTTCCAAATAAAAAGAAAATAACTAAAGCAAGTCTATACTGTACTATATAACTATATATTTCTTATTCAACGTAAATTATACAAACAACAACACAGCACCTATGTAGCCTCTTTTTATTTCATATACAAAAAAAACATCGTGAGTAATAATACACGTAATGTTGTAAAAATCAGCGTTAAGTAATACGACGCGTGCACTATCCGGGATTTTGACTCCGCCTTTTCCATTCGATATTTACACTACTTACTTCCTTGTCTCGAGAGAAGGATTCAAGGTGTAAACAATGTCTGGTTGTTAATAGAATGGAAGTTTGTGTCTCCCGTGTAAATAGGTGTCCCCTTGGTGAGTATATAAGACAGAGGTGATAATGTACCCTAACATGTGATGTTTATTTTACAAACAGTCAATGATAATCTGTGTATATCACAGTTGTACCTGTACTGCAATGTAGACACACCTTTGCTGTTGTTAGAAAAATACAAACCGAAACTTCTTATTTCATTTGTAGCATATATTGTCTGTATTGATAGCAAAAAGCTAGTAAACATCGTTACATGTAAGAACGTACGCATGTAAGAACGTACGCATAGTATTATATGAGTATCAAACGAAAGCTCTCATGTGCATCCATGTATACAATATGTTAGCGACTTGGATATACATAAGAGTTACCTCCCCTGCTGCGTCAAAGGACTTCAATGCTAGCATTGATGTGATAAAAATACCGACTTATGTATTAGAAAGCAAATGTATACTTCTGATTAAATGATCTTATGACTTATACATATACACAGACATACACATACATTTAAGTTCAAGTAAACACTGTGTTATCGTCGATGGTCGATATGAAATGTAAACAATACCGCTTCATGAATTATACGCTACAAAAAAAAAATGCTTTGTATATCGGCCATACGGGAAATATTACTTTGTGATAAGGAACTACAAATTTCAACATTACAACTATTTATCAAAAAACAACTGGAACCTTTCAAAAACTTAAAACAAATGGTATCACTTGTATTATAGAAATGCTAGTCATTGCACACCATATAACATAATGTCGTCTATAGACAGTTTGTTTTAAATCAGAATTGTTTATAAAATAAAAATAGGAAACATGACTAACCTCAATTAAACTACTTGGACAACATTTAATGATGATTAAATAGTATTCCATGTGTTACTTTTCGGCTTCTATAGATGTCTTTCTCATTGGTAATTGATTATAACTATTGTCATTTTCAATTTCAGGTCTGTGTTGACACTTTCTTACTTTTACTATGGCTGAAGGTGGTCTCCCTCCGGACCTGGACTTACACTTACTGGAGTGTCCAATCTGCCTGGAGCGACTTCAACAACCCAAGTCCTTACCCTGTCTCCACTCCTTCTGTCAGGATTGCCTCTGGATCTATATCACCAAGGAGCTGTCCGGGAAGATGGCGTCGGCAACATCCTTTCCTTGTCCGGTCTGTAGGAGGACGACCTCTCCCGTTAATCAGACAGAAACAAAGGACAAATGGGCAAAACAGTTCCCGACTAATAATGTAGCCCATGACATTATCCAGCTCGGGGAACGTTCGTCTGAACCAATATACTGCAAACCATGTCAGACAAAAGGAAATAAAACCAGCCCAGCACAATTTTGGTGCAAGACGATGAATATCAGTTTGTGTGAGTCTTGTAAGGTACAACTTCATGATATATTGCATAATGACTGTGATATATTGGATATCACCGTTTACGTAAATACTCATTGTAAACATGACAAGTCTGTCCCTCGATGTGACCGACACGACGAGAAAATGATTTGGTATTGTGAAGACCACCAACTTCTGTGCTGCCCCGAAAGTGTGATCGAAGACCACAGAGGTTGTGAAGAGGTGACAAAAACGACGGAATATTTTAAAAAGTTAAAGTCAGGAGAACAACTAAAAGAGATGCAGGCTGCGCTGAAGAAAGGAGCAGAGGTCATGGACTCAGTAGTAAAGGACTTTGACCAACAACTCCAGGCGATGTTACAGAACCAAGAAATAGCACTGCAGATCATCTCCGACCTACGTCGAAAGGTCGACAAACGACTAGACAAGCTTCAGAAAGACATCACCGACGACTTGATTACATTGTTCAAAAAAGAGAAAAGAGACATGGAGGCATCATCACAGCAGTGCGAACGTCTGATGAACGGAATGAAAAATACCCTGAAGTCGTCCATTAGAGCCGTAGAAGGAAACAACGACACTGAGACGATAGTGTTGTATCAGAGAGGACAGGCAGAAGTAGAGTCGTGTAAAAGCCTCGTCAGAGACATGCGCAAGTCATTCACATCCGTTAGCATCGAGCATCATATTGCTTCTGGAAATGATATAATTAGCGATGACGCGATGGGAAAGATTGTCGTACGGAAACAACCGCGATGCATCCCAGAGGGTCATATCGAATTTGCAAACCCAATGTCAGAACGACGTGTGAAAGAAATCGGAAAGTTCAGCATCAAGTCACCGTCAGATAGAAAGAATTGCTACGCAGTTGGTGTTGTGTACCTGCCATGTGCACACATAGTAGTAAGTGATTATAACAACAAAAAGCTTAAGTTGTTTACGGACAAAGGGCAGTACCTGGACGAGTTGGCCGTTCAAGGATATCCCAGGGATATGTGTCTGATGACCAACAACACGGTGGCGGTCGCTGTCGGGGGGCCCGGTGGTATACGTGTCGTAAAGGTCAAGGCCTCAAAACTCTTCCTAGCATCTGAGATCAACATGTCAAATCGTAAATACTGTTATGGTATAACGCATACTGATGGAAAGTTTGTCATAGGTACTAGTGGAGGAGAGGTATACAGTATCACACAGAACGGAGCAGCCGTATTATTATACACACATAACAGCACGTGTTGGTCCCTCACTCATGATCGAATGACGAGAAACACATTTGTCAGTGTCAGTAACACCAACCCGGGGAGCGTCGTTGTGTCTAGGTTGTCAGCTGACAAACCTCACAGGAGTGTGATGTCGGTCGGTGTCGTGATGGGAGCTAGGGGAATAGACGTGGACAAGGAGGGTAACATCTACGTGTGCGGCATGGATTCACACAACATCGTTCAGATGTCTAGGGATGGGGCACACGTAAGGGAACTACTTACGACATCAGAAGGAGTGCACAATCCATGCTCTTTAGCTGTTCGTGGTGATACATTTGTGGTAACTAGCACTAGTAATACAGATGAGGATAATTATATTGCCGTCTTTGCACTTGTTTAAACGATATAAATAATAATACCTTAGTAAATTGATCACTTTCAATTTTTGCGTCCTAAAACAATCAAATAAACAATATTTAAATATACATATTTACATTTCTACTGAACTTCGACTCAATATACCTACTACACATTTTAAAGTTTGTTTCTCAAGAACTTGCCAGTTGGCGTATTGAAACACAGCATATTATCAATATGAATTACCTCCCTCTTGTTTGAAAAAGTACATTTTTTAGTCTCATAACAATTTGCATTTCTTCAATATTTAATTTTATCAAGAGTAATGATTATACAACATTATCAAAAAATATTTTGAAAACATTAGAAATACTTTGTAAATATATAAAAAGTTAACAACATGGAAATCAAATCTCGTTCGAGTGTTTTTTTCCACTCTTGTCGTCTACTTTATTCAGATGTCAATTGTTGGTAATTTTAAAGTTGTCAATTTAGAAGCGTTTATTGTAATACGAAATGCATCATCCAACATCACTATGTCGGACTTTGGGTGATTTAGGACGAAGTGAAGTCACTAGATCTGGAGTTCTTACGACTACATGAACTAGTGACTGTGAGAGCAGGTTCAATAAAGATACTGGTGCAGACTTGAAAACATATGAAGTAATGACCCAATTAAAGTCCACCAAAAAACCCCACAAAATATGTAATACTATGTTGATTGTTGATTTAATTGCAAAAACAAATACAATGAAGTCGTTTTAATAATTTACACTTGCGATTGTATCGACACTTTGTATTGCACTCAAATATAGTTGGTAGTCATTTCAGCGTCTCGATAACCTAGAAAATCTACATCAAAACAAAAGTTGCCTGCAGGAGTGTGCATATTCATATTTTGAAAATTCTACAAGCTGAATCTATATTTTCAAATAACCATAACATGTTATAGTCCTGGGAGTCGGGCTATAGGAATTTCCTATACACTGCTGTAAGTCCTTCTTTTCTCTTTAGACATAATGCTTTAAAACAGAAATAGACATGATCACAGTGCCTAAAGTGAAATTGTCATAGAAACTAAGCAGATTTTATTGCGATGTCAGCTCCAAATCAGAAGAGACTACTCCCACGCCACAGGAATACCACAAAACAGCATGAAACCATTAATACAGCCGTCCATCGGCACATTCAAGATATCTACAGAGAAAATGATATTGTTTTGAAACTAAATTAAACAGGCAAATACATTGTTGAACGGTCTGCTAAAAGAGAGATTGACCTTAGCGACCGCAGAACCAAATGATTTTCCATAGACAATAGTGGTAACGTATTCCACTGTCCTGGGTAAATGGGGTTATCCGCACTGGTTTACCTGCCATCATTTTGTATGTCACGGTGGCCAAACTTATCAACAGTTTGTCCAGTAATTTAGTATTTAACATGATATATTTTAAATACGATGTAATTTGAGTACATGCTAATACTTGCGCTGTGTATCGTGTATAATGGTATAAATGTCTGTGTCAGGTAATGTACCTGTGTTATAATTGTGACGTATGAGAGGTGGGTGCAAATATTGGCTGATATTGACGTTTTGACCTATGACCCTGTTCATGCACGTGAAAAGCCTCACCATGTGCTCTATCCAGGTGAGTTAGTTCACTCTATACCAACCCTTGGCTTGGATAAGTCGCATGTTAACTGCCTGTGTGCGTTACCGCCACAGTGCAAGGTAAGTATTTCATTAAATTTAAAATAATATAGAACAAACTATTACTTCTATTTAACAAATTATTAAATAAAGTACTGTGGTTTTATAATATATTGCATTTGAATTATATTGCCGTCAAATATCTGAGGCTATAAGTTAAATTAAGGTACACGTGGTCAGGTTTTATAACATCATGTCTTAGGGTTAAAATTATGGTGTAAATATGTTATATAAGTTTCTGAAATAAAATATAATATTTTGTTTACAAGTAATGTCTAAATATTAAATACTTTATGGTATTAATATATATGGATATAGTTATACGTTTACACGTGTCCGTAAATGTACACTTAGACATTGTACTTTTATTTCAGGGAACTGTCTCCGTTCACGGTGTGGAACTGTCATCTTTGTGTACATATGTCTTTGGGTTAATGTATGTTCGCACAAGAAGAAACCCACACAAATACTCGTGTGACATGTACATTAACCCAAAGACATATGTACACAAAGATGACAGTTTCCCAAGGTAACACAAACATGTACGTTATACACTTAAAAAAATCTCCCCACTGCCAGTGGAAACAATGCATTCCTGATATGAATACCAATATTTTTTTAAATAATTGAATGTGAGTTACAATTAATCTGCATAACTACATAATTTGATGGTAAACCCTAAACAGAAACACAATCCAAGGCGGACTGTCAACTAATGAAGCTATCGTTGCCAAACGGATGAATGCAACAGGGGAAAAACTGTTCACTCAACATGTTGAAAGAGTCTGTTGGAAAAAAAACTTATCTATCTAAAGTTTTGCACATGCTCTTCTCTATGATTGTGTAAAAGATGATATCAACAACCCCATGCACGATAGCATCTGATACAATGCTAAGGCCTTAGGCATACGTTCATGCCATATATATGAATGTATGCGAAGTACAGCAAACGATACAATGTCTGAGAGCGACAGCCATTCAGAAAATGAATGACGAAGGCTTTCAATGTAGACAGATCATGATGATGTCCGGACATCGGAATGAAGCGAGCATTCGAAGTTATAATAAGAACAGAACCAGCACACGTATACGATATATAAGCGGAATATTGTCATCCCAATCAACAGAAATTGTTCGTGCGAACACCATGACATATCACGAGCTGTTCCTTCTACTGCTGTGCTACGTGACTTTGGCATGGTCTTTCAGTGAGATAGCATTACAAAGACGGCATCAGATCCGGGCTATCACAAGGAGGAAAGCATACCAATATACCCTGTCTCCTGCATACATAAACGCAAGCACGTATACACTACACACATGGGGGCAAAACTTAATTAAAACAAACCAAATAAATCCCCCTATTGTTTCAAAGTGAACACTGTCAATAAGCAACTCATCGATTAGCTGACGCTCGCTGTCTCAACCCGGTAGTACTCTAGGACGTCTCGATAGGTCCTTTTTTTCTCTCTTTATCTATGTAAGCCGCAATCTTGGATTGGGAAGGGAAACCGGAAATGATAGGTTTTGATATGATAATATCGATGTTGGGTCTATTGTGATGATGTGTGATTGTTTGTAATTTAAAGTAACCTTTATAAAAAAAAACATACCGCACCTGTTCCGGATGATTTACATCATCGCTATTGAAAATAATTTATTGTGGCGACGTTGTTTGTGAGCGACTTTTTAAATCCATGTATTTACACGCTCGGTGAGGTATTGTGATATTGTACATCATATTTAGGGACAATGTCACCATGTAGTCATAACATTGTATGATATAATAACCATGTCATTATACGTATCATATCCTTGAAGTCTCAGACTGCAGATGTTGGTAATCTACTTCAATAACAAGAATTTTCATTGAAAAACAACGATGACTGACAACATGCTGGTTAATTACGACTTTGATTTTAAGTAATATATCAATTAGTTAAAAACAAATAATTTCACACTTTTTTCTCTCGTTATCTATGTAAGCCGCTATCATGGATTGAGGAGGGAATTTTTCAGAGGGCTTAGATTAATGTATGCATAATAACAATGAATCAATATTTCCTACGTGTTTAATTAACCATCTTTTGTATGTTGATATGTAAAATACATGATTCATGAACATGTAGGATTGTTTGTAAATTAAAAGGCCCCTTATAAAAGTGTTGTTATGATAATTGATTATCGGTTAATTATATTGTTGGTTCATTGCCTTTAAGGGACGTATACAGAAACACACCTGTTCCGGGTGATTTATATCATCGCTATTTAAAATCGATGTCTGAACTCCCGGCATTTCATGTGCTCCTCCCGGTGCTCCATGCGCTCCATGCGCTCTTACTGGCGCGCTTGGAGCTCCTTCCCAGTCTCCATGTATTGACATTTAATAATATTGCTAATTGTTTGTATAAATGTCTTTATATCCTTTGTTATGTTTGTTTGGGTCATATACTACAGTATTTGTATGGGTATGATTTGCCCCACTGTATGTTACCAGAACGACAGATGACACGGCGTAGTGTCATGGTAACATAACATTACAAGTGACAATTAACCAATCGTGTCAGTGAATACACAGTTGAATAAAGTATATGAATGCCAAAACACAATACTCCTTTTTGGTAACTGCGATAGTACAGAGTTTAAGATGGATCCCAGACGCTAAAATAAAAACGAAAAGACGTGTTTGTGATATACGAATATGTTAATCAAGACGATATCAATGCACGTGTATTTAATTGTCTCTGACATAAGAACGGACGTGGGTCAGACACCCACCCCGCGTCCACCCGTACAACATAAAGCCTAACATGGACAATATTTACAATACCGAGAGTCATCTACCACCCGTGGCATGGTATAGGGACGATCTGTATTGGGTTGCACGCCCTTTCCCACAAAACGGGGTCTTGAAATGAGACCGTTCTAGAGATGTTCACTCTCTTACAAATCAGTTACATGTAATATGCGTGTCCATAAGATGAATAGATCCATTTCACAAATAGACCCTGTACGTAAAAGTGTATATTGCTGATCACTCGCGACGCTGTGAATGAATGTCAATCAGCTGTGGGAATTTCCAATAAGGGAAACCCCTTTTGTACACATCATATGTACAGTAGAGCATGGATTAACATTACCAACTGTAACCATCATAACTGTTTATGATACTATGTGCGCTATAGCCAACTCATCACTAACATATAGCTAATTATTCGGCTTTCTTTTGTATATTTTGAATATGTAAGACATAGTTTCGTTCTTTATATTGTTCCTTTTTCTTAATTTTCGCTCAATTATACCACGACCTGTCTGTATGATCGAAACACGGGAATTGTTTCCATTCTTAATTTGTTCTTTCCAAAGCAGCAGCCACCGGTGAAATGTGAACAACTTCACTGTCCCGAGCGGAATTTTCGTCGCCCATGTCAGTAGTTACCTCAATCCGATACCTAGGGTTCGCTCCCTCCAATACTTCTGGTAATAGGATCTCCAGTGGTCCGGATTGGAAACATAAACGGAACCAACCATTATAATGCAACCTGTATCTCCACCACCTAGTTTACACACTGTTCAGTCCATATTATCTCGGCCTTTATAGGGGACAGGATTTGGAGG